TATTTACTGTCAAATTATCTTTTAGTAATTCTCAAATTATTAATAACAAGATTGAATTTTCGCTAAAAATTAATTCCTAATCATTTTAAAACAAGGTCAAGCTAACAGCTATGAGAATGCAATTAGAACATGGGTTTAAACTCAACAAATCTCAACATTAGAGATTAATTATGAACATCATATGATTGTTTAGCTAAAAATTAATTAATACTATTAAAAAAAAGTCCAAAACTAACAGCTACGATAATGAAACTACATAATAAAAATCAACTAATGAGGGGAAAAAAAAAAAAAAAATCTGATAAAGCTCGTTCCAGAAGCCAAACGCACTCAATCGCACTCTCTCTCTCTTTCTCTGCAACGACCCCGAAGAATTCTCATCATCAATCACTACAAGAATTAACACTTTTGCCGACCAAAAAATTGGTCGCTAAAAGCCTATTTTTGGTCGGCAAAAGTTATCCGCGACCAATTTTTTTGGTCGCTACTTTGGTCGCCAATTGAGGGTCGGCAAAAGTAATTCGCGACCAAAATTTTGGTTGGTCGGGAAAAGTTAGATTTGCCGATTAAATTTTTGGCCGCTAAATATATCATTACTGCGACTAATCCATTTTGTCGCTAAAACATTTTGGTCACGAAAAGTCACCTTTTGCCAACCAAATATCTTAGTCGCCAATTGTCACATTTCACGACCAACACTTTTGGTCGCCAATTATCACATTCAACGACCAAAAAATTTGGTCGCTAATTGTGACATTCTGCGACCTCTTAGTTTGGAATCATCGACTAACAATTTAGTCGCCAAAATGTAAGGAATTGCCAACCAATGATTTTAGTCGCAAAAGTGTAGAATTTGACGACCAATTTTTTAGTCGCCAAATCTCTTTTTTTTTTTTTAGAACAATCAATTTTTATTTATAAACATTCAATCCAATATCGAACAAAATTCATTCAACCCAACCACAATTAAGGAACAATAACATTTAAAAAAGAAAAAGCTTAGGAATAATCATTAACAAATTTCTTTTCTTGTAACTTCGCTAAATCATCAAACAATAAAATAGTTTCCATCTACTAGTCTTATATGCAACTGATTCAATTGGGCAGAGTTCAGTTGTAATTTTACCCCATGGAATGATTGCAATTACACAAAACAGTTTTCACTGCAGGGAACAGATCTAAATGTGTACTTTCCAATACTAAACAAATTTAAATAGAAAAAGGTCTAATAAATTTAAGGTGAGAAATTTCTTCAAAGCAATATAATTTTGCATCAGGAAGATAGATCATAGAGTGAGGAACACAAACAACCCTGGAGCATCATGTCTTTCACACTATCCACTCCAACTCCCTTGCGTAATTGAGTGTCTGGTTTATTAGTTGCAGAGACGGTATCTCCTTGCAAGCTGCAGATTCTTTTGCCCTATGGAAAATTACAAACCCATTCTTTATCTCCCACTCAGGATGCTCCTGCAAATTGCACATAAAACAATGCTTATCAAGGAGCCCTTAAATTGGACACTAAATAACATTTCAAAGCTTCCATGTGGGTGGATTATGGTGGCGTCATTAATGTAATGATAATATGAATGACAAGACACCCATAATGCATCTATTGAAATTTAAAATCCGTATTCCCAAACAAAAATTGAAAATGAGTTTAGCATTGTGTTGAGAACAAGAATTTACTCACTTCTTCCTGCCAAGAGTAGTAGGATTTGAAAGTAAAAAACCCTAAAGGAGGAGGGACCACATTGTTTTGAGAACAAGAATTTACTCACTACTGCTCTTGGCAGAAAGAACAACAATATAAAGGAAATGAGCAAACCAAGAATGACTTTCAATTAGATGCTTAGTACTGCCCTTAAACTATAGACCATCAAAGCATATCTAGCCAGTAATGCATTCTATTGATTATCAAGAAGAATAAAAATGAGTTAAGCAGCAGGAAGTTTACCTCCTTGACATACTCAAAAAGTTCTTGGTCAGAAGAGAACATCAATATTTTTCGGGCATCATTAATTGAAAGTGAATCATAGGCCTTTTCACTGCATCTAGATATTTCATCTCTGCAAGAGACAATGAACTACTAAGCACACAAAACTGACCACTTAGTCAAAATGAATATGAATTAGAGATGGGATGAACAATAAGAACAAGGTCTTTCAACTGAAGTGACAACCAATAACCCAAGAGTTTAAAACATATGATTACTTTCTGTTCTCATAAGAAGTAATTTTATGTGTATAAAATCAAATACATTGTCAGTGTTCCATACAAATTATGTGTACCATCATCACTAACTTGATATTATGAACAAATGTAGGAAAAGAGAAAAGGAAACACAATAACCAAAACAAATATGTAGACTCACTCACCATAATGTAAATTTTAATGGGAAGTCAAAGTTGCTACCACGTAGATGACATGCACATAAAAAACCAGTGCTACCTGCAAACATGAATTTGATTGGTATTACTATCACACAAAACACATTATTCGAGGTACAACCGATTTCATAACCTTGTTAAGATTTGGAGACTGCATTATTTGACCCGTAGAAACACATGTACATCTTTGCTATAAGCAGACCCATTTTCCGCGCAACATAAATCAGTCTAAAGAAGCTCAAGAAGCTAAAAACTCGTAAGAATCGACATACCTGATGGCAAGAAAGCTTTTTAGCAAGTTGCCTATAACCACCTCTGGCAAGTTCATAGAGAGGGATATTATCAGGGCAACCTTCTGGTTTCTCCCACTTAAACTCAGACCTTGTAGCCCTCTTGAGATCATCAAAATGGTCCTCATTCCTCAGCAAGAAGTACAAACCCATGAAGAAGCCTAAAAATTCCTCAGCAGTTAGTAAGGATGAAGATCAGTTTCATGAAGAAGCCTAAAAATCCATGATAAAAACAGAGCAACATTATTTCAAACGAGATTAAAAAAAACCATCTTAAACCCTATTTTTAATTAACCTAATCAATCGAACAATGTAAAAGATAAAAACTGAGGCTATCTCTTAAACCCAATTTTCAATTAACCAAACTAATTCGAGATAACCAATCGACCAATCTACAAGATCAAAACTTCAACTTAGTGAAAATACATTACTAACCCATATATCATATTTTCAGCTTAATATTTATCGCTTTGCAGCAACTTCAACTTAGCACTCTCTACAAACAATTTATGTAGTATGGTGTCTCATGCTTATGACATAGCAAAGCATGGGTTATTGAAACAAATGGATGAAACTAATGTTTTAAAGAGTAAATCCAACCTCAATACTCTTAGCAATTTGGGGAATATGACACTAGATTCCAGTGCTTTTTATTTCTTTCCTTTTTTTTCCTATAGTTTAACTATAAAGGCAAACTTGATTTTAAACCACAAGAGAAAGAAAAAAAAAAAAGAAGAAAGAGAAATAATTTTCTTACCCTTTTATTTTATTCACATTTATCTCATTTTTTTTCATTATAATTTTTTAATGAAAATTCATATTTCAAATACAATCTTAGTGAACGTTATAATTTTTTCATTGAGGCGATCTAATAGTGGTCACCACCCCTTCATAGATGTCCCTAATCACATCAATGCAACATTTTGTCACCCCTTTCTTCTCTAACACTCACCATATTATATCCTGAGACACTCTATCATATGCTTTCTCAAGATCGATAAACACCATATAAATGTCTCTTTTCTTTTTTTTATACTTTTCTATTACTCTCCTCAAAAGATAGATTGTTTCCATTGTTGACCTGCCGGGCATAAACCAAAATTGATTCTCTAACACCTCTCTTATAACACAAAGTTGTCAAAATAATAAATTTAAAAATAAATAAATAAATAAAATTATGGTGGTGGTGTGCATTAAGCATGATAATTTGTTAATAAGACATCTTGCAAAGCTAGAAACTACATAACCAAACAGTTTTTATCATGTCTGAGAAGAAACGTAAAATACAGTATTTTAACAAGTACCTCAAACTCCTCTACAGATGACAGTGACTTCCAAAGATTAGCATCAGAAATTGTATTCTGCAGAGCATGCTCAGCAGCAACACATATCTCTGCAAGTCTCATAGGTCGATCGATGCAGCTTTCAAAGTTTCCAGGTGAAGAATTAGTTCTTGACATGGAAACAGTATTTACTTTAGCTGAAAGAGGGCTTCCTCGGAGATGCATCTGAACCTAAGCTGCCAGCATGTAACAACTGGGTAAGGGCTCAAAAGAATTCAAAGGATCTGAAGACAAAGACATTTACATATACACAAAGATACAAATATTAGAGTTCACTTCTTCAACAATTAGAGGGGAAAAAAAGGAGGGGGGAAGGTTGTTATCAGCAACTATTATGCTTGCTTCCAAAGCAAATTAAAGCAGTTCAGTACATTTTAAGTCAAAACACTGGAACCAACCAACAAGATTGTATTCCCCCTCCAGAAATTATGCATTTCTTTGAATAGCATGTAACAATATATTGCATTCAATTACTAAATTTCCATTACCCATCAATAAAAGCTGAGCGACCATCAAATAATTCAAACACATTCCCAGCAGAAAGAGAAGCCTTTTGGCGATTAGCTTCACGCAGAAGTAAAGATGGTTCAAGAGGTAATGGCTTCCTCTGAATACCAAAGTGCTTAACCCTTGGTGTCGTTTGAATAATCATCTGCATGGATTTAAGGAATACATAAACAATAACATTTTTCAATGAGAATGAAATTAGGATCAGTAACAACTATAATTACGATAATTTTGAGAAGGATTACTTAAACCGCATTATTGACATGTTAACTGAGGTGAGGAAGGGCATGTTGTGTCTCAGAAAAAGTGCCCATAAAGACATAGTCTATTTTAGTGAAACATTTAATCCTAACCCTCAACTTGAGCCACATTACCATAACAATTCAATGCAAGGACACAAGCACTGCTCAGGTAAGTAGTACAAATTTCCAAAAACTGATTTTTTTTTTTGAACAAGGTTTTTTTTTTTGTTTTTTGACAACCTGGTCCTTACAATCCTCCAGCTCTAGATATCATCTAAGATCCATATTGGTGACTAATGTATGTAATTGAACTGCGACAACAATAAATTTGACTATCCCACAGTTGTTCAGTTATTTCTTCCAATAATCCAGAGTAAAGATGTTGATGATGAAGCTCCTCAGCGCACAGGAGGCATTATTGAAAAAACTAATTTTTACAAAGAAAGTAAAAAACCAGATCATGTTTTCCAGAGTAGCTTTCAGTTCTGGCCCAATTACAATTGGCCGCTTTGTTAGGATGTCACTGAGGCCATCATACTGAGCCATCAAATGATTTTTGAGTTATGAATAAAATTTTCTTTCATCCTAAAATGTAATTAACTTTATTTGACTTCAGTTAAGACTCATTCTAAACAACCAGCAAACCAGTTGAATCACTTATAACAAAAGAAGCAGAGTATCAATTGAAGTATCCTCGAAATAACCAGTACAAGGTTGGTTTATTTAATTTATATCAGTGCTCAAATTTACAAGCCTTTTCCTAGTTACATGTCAATAATACCAAATTAAAAACCTCACCTTTTCCTTCTCAAACACCTCAGATGAAGCATCAGGTGGAACTAAAGGCCAAACTGCGGGCTTAGGCCAAGGTAGCATGCTGAGTGAAGCACTGCACAAAAGAAAAATATATTAGAGAGAGAGTTGGAGGACCACAGTGCAACATCAAAGGAACTCTTTGGCAATGCTGACTACTACTTTCAAATAGGATTGGTATGCTAAAAAGTTGTGTTTCTACCTGTTGACAGGACTTCTTTCTATATCTGAACCAATTAAATATGCAAGCCTCATGAACTGCAACATGGGGAATTACATTGCAATAAGCAATAATTATGGGATAATTCATCGAATAATTTGTCCACAACCAAATATTTACATCATAAATGGGATAATTCATCGAATAATTTATTAAAATTCTTTAAACAATCATCCAACAAAAAATTCAGCAAAACCCAAATCAGATTCCCAAAATTGGAATTGAAACAAGAACGATCTGCAACAAAGGATCTAAACCCAAAAATACCAATTGATCGATCAAAACAAAAGAGACCCATTACGGATTATGAGTTTCAATAGTGATCGGAACCTTTGAACGAGTATTATAAAGAACAAATCAAAATCACGCGGAGAAAAGAGACAAAGAAGGAGAAAAGAGACAAATCAAAATCACCGTGTCACCGCCGGCTGCGGAAGGGAGCGAAGCAGCACCATGCAAGCGAGAGCGAACAGAACACAAAGTCGTGAGCGAATTTGGGGAATGAGAGATTGAATTCAATGCTTTTGATCTCTGAGACTCGCCATTGAAAGGCCGTGTGAGTTGAAGAGACACGGATTGGCAATGAATCGGACGGTGTAGACGACAAATGAAGAGTGTTGTTGTTGTTACAGATAAAGTTGACTCCATTGGAACAGAGCTTCAATTAAAATTCAATTCACAACATCAACTCCATTGGAACAGAGCTTACAGTGCTTCGCCTCTGCTCAGCAGCAACAGCCAACGCAAAGGCAATGACATCGAAGAGGAAGACCGCAATCAGTAAGATCTTTGATGTCATTACAATGGAGTTCATCTTCTTCACACACGCCACAGATCTAGATCTGTACCTTTGCTTACTCTCTCTACTATGCGTTTTCTCTCTCTACATATAGATATAGATATAGATATAGAGAGAGAGAGATAGACTGGAGTGTTGGTGAAGCAAAGAAGTCTGAGATATATATCTACTGAAGCATGTAGATCTTAATTGATCTGCAATGGAGCTCAAGATGGACAGAGCGAAGACCTACGATGGAGCTTGCGAGATGGACAGGGCTTTTTTTAAATTTTTTTTTTCTGTTTTCCTAGTGCAAAAATTTCAATTCCCGGCCCACGTTTCAAAATTCCCTCCCAAATTTTTGGCGACCAAAATATCAGATTAGTCGCAGAAAATGTACCCTTTGCCGATAAATTTTTTTAGTTGCCACATCTCAATCAACGGCGACTAAAATATTAGTCGCTAAAAGTGCTAATTTGGCGACTAATTTTTTTTGGTTGCTGAAAATAATTTTTTGGCGACCAAAATTTTGGTCGCCAAAAAATATGTGACCTTTCGCGACCAAATTTATAGTTGGTCGGCAAAAGCATACCACTTTCTGCGACCAACTTATTTTTTGGTCGCCAAAATATAACCTTCTGCGACCAATAATATTTGGTCGCCAAAAATAATGATCATTCGCGACTAATTAATATTTGATCGCCAAATGTCATTTTTTTGCGACCAAAATTTTTTTGGTCGGCAAAAGTGGTCGCCAAATGTGTAAATCCTTGTAGTGAATCTCATTCATACGAAATATTATTGGGTGCTACATCATTCGTGTATTACATGTAGCAGGTAGAAGCCAACTACAGGAGAGAACGAGATAGCTTCTCATGGACCAACATGCAAGCATCAATTCCGACACCACCCCAATCCATTCTACTGTTCACCGTGAATCACGAACTCAAGAAAAATCCTCCGAAGAAGAAGATCATCTGATCAGAAGCACAAAGAAAATCAAAAGCTCAGATTCTATCACGGAAGGCAGCGAAGCCAAAGCGATCGATATGGAAACAGAACTTCCCAAGGATGATCTTGGAGAACAAAGACACCAAGATATGGGTTCTGCTCCTCCTAAGTCCTTCAAAGAAGCACTCACTTCTGTCCATAACAACGACTACATTTTTGACAGCAGAGTGGATATTCTATCGTCTGATGAGGAAGATGATGAAGATCCAAAGGCCCAGACTACCATACAAGGAACCTCTTCAGAGCAGCAGGGCCTCCCCACATTATCTCTCCCCAAGAAGTTTCTCGATAAAATTAGGAAACCATGGGAGAATGCCCTTATTATCCGATTGCTAGGGAAGAATATTGGCTACAAAATGCTCTGCTCCAGAGTCAGAAATCTCTGGGGTCTTCAGGGTGAATTTAATGCAATTGACCTGGGTTGTAACTACTTCCTATTTAAATTTTTAGACCAGATTGCTTGTGCTAATGTCTTCACAGGTGGACCTTGGGTTATCATGGATCATTACCTCACTGTGAGACATTGGGAACCTAACTTTAGACCATCGGAAGCATTTGAAACCATAACCGCAGTTTGGGTTCGGTTTCCTGAGCTTTCGATTAAGTATTATTAGGAAAAATTTCTTTTTGCGATAGCTAAAACTATCGGTAAACCCTTTAAAATCGATGGGAATACTGCAATGGCAATACGAGGAAAGTTTGCTCGAGTTTGTGTAGAGATGGATCTCAGCAAACCGCTAAAGCCCAAATTCATATTAGAGGGTATAGTTTATAACATTGAATATGAATCTTTGCACTATTTCTGCTTTCTCTGTGGCAGAATTGACCACCGTAAGGAGGCATGTCGTTTCAAAACCACCAGTGCTCCACCGGCGGTGGAAAATATAGCCGTTTCCGGTACTGATAAATCTAACCATCCACCTGCGATCGATAACGGTCACCTGCACCAGCATCACGAGGAAGATGAAGACTTTGGCCCATGGATGTTAATGTCTAAGCGTCCTAAGAGACCAGCCCAACACAAAAGGGCCCAAAATCCCACTAGCACAGTTACTAGCAATAATCCCTTTCGGTATTTGGAAGTGGGCCAAGATGGACTTGGATCTGCCCAAAAGGGTAGGAAGACTGCTCAACATGCAGGGGAAAAAGCCAAAGGAGAACCCAGTCCCTTAACTGGTCCAATACAAAATACAGACTCTAAAGGAAAGCATAAACAAGGGCTCCAGCAGAACAGAGCTAAGGAGCTAGACACACGTAGCAATCAGCAAGTGGTCTGGCAGAAACTGGGGGAAAGTTCAGCCTCACACGCGGTTGCACTGCAAGCAGAGGGCACCTCTCATGATCAAGCCAAGATGACAACACATATCACTGCGAACCAACTTCAGCAGAACACCTCTGACATGATCTGTACATTGGAAACTACCCTAAGTCCAGAAGACTCTACTATGGTTGAAGTTAACCCACCCTCTACTTTATCTCATTCACCAGTTTCAAACCCAGCTCCCAACCCTCTTAATCCTATACATCCAGATCGGGAACCACCAGACCCAGGTGAAATAATTAATGGAAAAAGCAGATCACATGACCCTGAAGGACTCCCCCTCGGAGGTGATCGAACATCAAAATCAGAAGGACACTGTGAGCCTATTGTTAGAACCAGGGAGCGAAGCAACTCACCTAGTCGCTCTCGTTTGGTGGATAGAACAACTCCGAATGACAATCGCCCCAAACTAGGCAGCTCAACACCAGAGTCCTCTGCACTCGATACCCTTCTATGGATTTATTAAAACTTCTTTTCTGGAATTGCCGCGGTGCCGGCAATAACAACTTCAAACGTAATTTTGTGGAGATCATCCGTACTCATAAACCTGAGATCATCATCCTTATGGAGACCAAAGTGCCTTTTAGCTCCATGGGAAATTTCTTTAACCGCCTAGGCTTCACAACCTCAACCTTTGTTGACCCTGTCGGTAGAGTAGGAGGGATTTGGATCATTTGGGACACTAACCATGTTAATGTAAGAGCCTCTTCGGTAAGTCCCCAAGCTATTCATGCCACTATTCATAAAGAAGATTTTGAGGAATGGGTCCTTGCTGCTGCGTCTATGCCAGTCCAAACCCTGTCTTGAGGGAAAACCTGTGGGATGATTTAGAAGAGGTGGCAGCAACCATGTCTAAACCTTGGTTGGTCGCTAGGGACTTTAACGACTATGCAAACCAGGGAGAACGTCGAAGCTTCACCTCATCCACAACCTCTGCAAGAACCCAGAAGTTTTTAGAGAGGATCAACAACTGTAATTTAATTGATTTGGGTAACACGGGGTCCAAAATGACATGGACTAACAATCACCAAGGTTTGGCCAATACTATGGAGAGACTTGATAGAGCCTTGAGTAATCCTGAATGGCGAACCATGTTTCCAGAAGCAACAGTGAGGGTCCTTCCTCGCACCTACTCAGATCACTCCCCTCTGTTAGTATACACCCAAGGTATGCATATTCTTAATCCTACTCAGAGGCCTTTCAGATTTGAGGCTGCCTGGATGTCTCACTCTGGCCTTATTGATATCATTAAATCTTCTTGGACTACTATTTTAATTGTGAAGATGTTATTCAACTTGATCACTGGAATAATTGTGAAGACATTGGTGCTTAATAATTTAGCTTCAACATATTTTACTCATGATGACAACACTGGGTTCCTTAAGCCCATTTCCAATGCTGAGATTCTTAGGGCTGTTAAAGACATTGGTGCTTTCAAAACGCCAGGGAAAGATGGCATGCAGGCCATTTTTATAAGACTTACTGGAACTCTATAGGTAATTCTGTCTGTCAGTTTGTTAAACAGTGTTTTCATAATAAAACTGTGCCTCCTATGGTCAATGAAACTCTTATTGCTTTAATACCCAAAGTTGATTGTCCTGAAACTATTACACAATTTTGACCCATTAGCTTGTGTAATGTTAACTATAAGATTATAACTAAGATTATTGTGGGTCGTATTAGACCTCTCTTGGATAACATTATCTCTCCTAATCAAAGTAGTTTCATCCCTGGTAGGAACACTACAAATAATATCATTATCACCCAAGAGATCCTGCATACTTTAAGGCATAAGAAAGGCAAAAGGGGTGGCATGATTTTCAAAATTGATTTAGAAAAAGCCTATGATAGACTTTCTTGGACCTTCATCAAAGACACTCTTCTGGAATTTAAACTTAATGATACTTGGGTTGATCTGATAATGAGCTGTGTTACCAACAATCATTCTTCCATCCTGTGGAATGGAGAAATCATTGATGGGATTCAGAATAGGAGAGGTCTCCGATGAGGAGATCCTCTCTCCTCTTACCTCTTTGTCCTCTGTATGGAAAGATTATCAAATATGATTCATTGTAAGGTTCATGAGGGCTCTTGGAAAGGACTCAAAGCTTCTAGACATAGCCCATGCCTATCCCACCTGTTCTTTGCTGATGATTTGATTCTTTTTGCTTAAGCTACTCCATCTAATTGTGATATCATCATGGATACCCTTTCTGAGTTTTGCGATGTGTTTGGGTAGAAGGTTAATCTTCTCAAATCCAAAATCTTTGTTTCCCCTAATGTTCCTAGAAACTCTGCTAAAGCACTTAGCTTTCAAAGTGGCATTCCCTTCACCCATAACCTTGGCAAATATCTTGGTTTTCCCCTTTTTCATCAGAGAGTCACCAGAAACTTGTTCAATGAAATCCTTGATAAGATGAAAACCAGACTCTCAGG